GAGAACCTTGCCAGAACGTTAGCTTAAGTTCAGAGAACGTTCCCCGTTAGCTGGTTTGCTATTTGTTACAGCTTGACTGAGTCTAGGTTAGTCCAGCGAAAACCTCAAACTGAATGATTGATGGCCGTCTCACACACGTGTTTGTCCCAAATAAACCTCAAAGTGGATCCGTTCTTATGCAACACCCTTCAGCATGCCTCCACCACTGTTTGCTTTCATTCTGGCTGATCTGTTCATGTGTGTTATGTGAAAATTCACATCAGACAGTGGGTTGGGTGTAATTAGGCTCAGAGGTGCTTGTTTTGCCTGAATTCTGGATTTCCACGGCATCAGGGACCCATAGACTGAAACTCAGCCAGAAGCACTATATACACCCACTATGATACTCACACATGCTCAAACTCAAACTAGATCACAAGTGTACAGATGTGTCCAGTTATAACACACTTGACAGATGCAGACGTTGTTTGTTAAGATTTCAAGTATCAATCACAAATTAGAAATGCCTTGTAGTATTTATTTATATCTGAATACATTTTAATGGTACAAAATTAAGTGATTATGTTTAAAATGCTGGTGTTCCCATGCTAATAAGGTTCCAAGTATTCACTGTATGTCCATTTATTTGCACTGTTATTTTGTTGTAATTTTTAGTAACTTGTTTAATGTTAAGTAGCGTCCATTTCCACTCAAAATGACCTGTTAATACTCAAATATGCATTATATGTTGATTTTTAGGTTGATGGTTTAAATTAGATTCTCATTCACTTTAGTCGATTTAAATTTTATAACATTTACATTTACTATAAAAAACAGCAGCAATGTGATCAAATGCAGACTTTGCTGACGTCTGCTTCTAATTTCTCTCCTGAGAAAAAGACTCACACAACGTCACATCACTGTGCACAACATACCAAAATCTGCAATGAAATGTCAGATATTTCAGTATGAACACAATTATTTATCATTGAATTCTCCCAAAGAACACATGTTTCTGGGATGCTATACTCTTTCATTTTAAAGTTCTATGCTCTTACTATATGTATGCCGCATCTGCGTCTATTTTTGTTTTTTGTTTCAGGAGAAACACTTTGGATAAAGTTGATACTTAAATGAAGCATAACTGAGAACTCCATCAAGTCTCCTGAGCATAAAAGAGTAGCATTCTCCTTTGGGTATTTCTATTTTGTTTGTTTACCTGTTCTTTTCTTTAGGCAGTTATTTCGCTATCTCTCACTGTAAAAAATAAAGATTCTTAGTTTCAACAAATAAATACTTCAACCTACAAACACACACACATGCTAACACACAACCTCTCCACCCAGCTCACCCTGTGACTGAGCAAGCCATCCATTAATACGCTTCACCTCAGGAAACACTGGGGGTCACTTACTCTCTATTACTTTCTTTCTCTCTATCTCTTGATTCCTGCAGAGGCTGTGTCATGACAGTAATGTTAATCTTGTCCTGTGAGACAGAAATGATGACCGAATGAAAGAAAGGAGGTCGAGACTGCAGTAATAAAGTGCTCTCTATCTCTCTCTGTCTCTCAGCCAAGGTCTGGTGAACTCTGAGGTGAAGAGTGAAGCTGTGGTCATCCCTGCCCTTATTTTCTCATTGGGAGATCATCTCTGTGTGATTCCACATGATGGGATCATAATGTAGGATTTGACGCAGAGGGTGTTTGTTTTTGTGAAAGGTGCAGATTTCATCTGTCTGGTGTTTTGTTATTCTCTCATTAATCAACACTTTGGCAGACGGCTCAGCTGCACACAAAGCAATTTACTGAAAATAACCAATCACCAATATGAGAGCCATGAAACCTTCATGCATAAATATTCAGAAGTTTCAAACTTCTCCATTCTTTCTTCCAAATTGCGAAATTACCTTCTAAACAAGGCATTTTGTATAAATAATTCTGTTTAATCAGTCCATTTACGACCCATTTTATGAAGGTATCAATATAAACTTGCAAATTCACCATTTACGGAAAACTTGAAAACTGATGCATAAAAAATTGACCTCATTACAACTTTAGACCATGTCTGCCAAATAAACTGAACACTTCCTCAATTCTACCTATAGTCATCACACTCAAGTAACTGCAGATCCACAACAGACTGTTCTGCCAACGTTTTGACAGCATTGTCATGTTTATTTAATAGTTGATAGTCATTCATTTTATATAACTTCCTATCCAGACGCTGATGCCATACAGTAAAAAATCAAGTAATCATTTTCTTCATTTCATTTTTCATTGCACTCCAAACACATCAAACAAATGTTATGACGTTTTATTTCATCACCTTATGAGAGGAAAACGGGTGCAAAAACTCTGTATTTAAAACTTTAAATCAATTTGCAGAAAAATGTAATCACCAAGAAAAGAAAAAAGTTGTTGCCATAATTTTTTTAAGTACAATCAACTTTTAATTCAACTTAAATGACATTAAACTGATTTTAAAAATGAGTCGAATCTTGTATAATTTATAACAAAAAATTGAAAATTGCTTAACTTATTTTGATGAGTTAAAGCAATGTAAAAACATATGTTGTCATAAATGTTTTTACAGTGAACATGCACTGTGTAAATGTAACTGATTTTAGCACTTTAAAACTGGACTGACAACTGTATTCTGCTACTGTGAGTGGATACAAACGCACAATGACACAAACATATAGTTACACACACATTGGTTCTCTGTGAACGCTTTGATGAATTATTCACACCACACTCGATAAATTAGTGGGACTGAATGAACAGGGTCTGGTCAGCTGACTACACTCAAATCATTTTAACTGAAACCCAAACCAGCTGCAGAAACCCGAGATTCCCGCTCTGACCCAGACATCAGCCATTCCAACAAGTAACAGTTATTTGTCACAGTTAATAGCCTGTGAAAACACACACAATAATGCAGCCAAACATCTTAATAAACACAAACACACACACAATGCACGTGCAGAAAAATAAGCAACAACTAGCAGGTAAACAAAACATTAGCATTACAAACAAATTCTTGGCAAGAAAGATGAACACACTAAAGAAAAAGAGAATGATTATGATTGGAAAGAAATATTTCTAACCAGGTTTAGGGCATTAAAACTACACCAGGCTCGTAAAGGTCTCCAATTGTTCCACCTCAGATGGTGCAAATCAAATGTAATTAGCACATTCTCTCTCTTTCTCTGCCCCTCCCTCTGATGTCTTTCTCTTTCCTGTCAATCTACAGGCTAATTAAACTTGCTCTGGGTCTCGGGACAGGCAGATCACTGCATTTGACAGATACACACCGCCATTGCCCCTTTTCAACCATTGGCAACATCTTTCAGATCCATCCTGTGAGTGAGAATGAGTTTATCAGCATAGCAAGGCCTGTCCCACAAGCAGTGCTCGGGTTAAACCACTCTCACACTAACAGTAGATCCAGGACTTGCACACAACAGAGCCAAATCAAATAAACTTCTACATTCAGCTGTGATTCACACAGGATTATTTCAGCAGCCAGTATCAGCGGGGCATCTGTGTGTTCCTAAGCCTTTTGCTCCCGACAACATCCTCCCTCACAGCAAACACATAACCAGCTCTGTTAGGAGGAGAATAAATGCGCACTGTGGCCTAAAGGGAGTTATATCAGCCAACCACATCAGACAAGGCAATGCAATTACTGGGCAAATTATAGTTCCAACTATATATACATTATAAATACGATATACAGTACTGTGCAAAAGTCTTAGGCACGTTAGTATTTTAGCATGTAGGTTTATTCTAGCATCTTGGAAACGTTGCCGCAGTTCTTCTGAAATTAGTCTGTCTCAGTTTTTTCTGTTTCTTCATGTAATCCCAGACAGACATGATGATGGTGAGATCAGATCTCCGGGTGGAGCGCCAGCTGTTGTCAGACTGCATACAAAAAACTCACTGGATTATTACAATTAATGGCAAAAGGAATGTTTGGAAATGTAAACTGATATTTCCAACCGACACACTACAGCAAAAGATATAAATAACTGGTTTAAAACCATTTTTGTGGGGGTGAAAATACAAATGTGACTAAGACTTCCACAGAAATGTATTAAAAATTAAAAAAATGTACGCAAGTGTAAATCAAAATGACTGGTTTAATGTATTGTTTAATATAAACGCAAAATATAGGATTATTAATCTTTTAGACAGGTAAATCAGGGCTGCAACACACTGAACTGGGACAAATGACATAAAAAAACTATTTTATTAATAGGAAAATTGCGTAAATACGAAATTACGAAAATAACACTTTATTATTAATAGTAGGCTACTACTTAATCGGGGGAAAAACGTGTTTTGTCATTAATGATAGCTGAACCGTTTATTTGAAAGGAACGGATGGACAAAATGATACGGACTTGCCATCAGCAGCTCACTTGAGTGAGTATGTGCGTGTTACGGCGCATCTAGATGCGCGTGCCAGCCTGCCAGGCTCCGTGTACTGGGACCGGAGACCTTTTACTCTGTTCCCAACCAGGGTAAGCTGACTTAGAGGGGTAAGCCTGACTTTTACATGGCATATACTGTTAATGCGGTAAGAAGACAAGCACCGTCAACACACACACCCTCGCTCTCCCGCGCGCGCACACACGCAAACTCATCAAGCTCATTGCCCTTTTTACTCTAGTATTACTTCTTAATCACGCTTGACACAAAATAGTCCAGCTTTAATGCTCCCATGGCGATTCTCGGGTTTACACACAGACTATAGCCTGCCTATTAAGTTTCAGTGACCCGCGTCCGGTCACGATCCGAATGCATGACTCACTGAAGCAATTGTCATGGATCACTAAAACAGGCAATAGGCTACCCGTTTATTTTACTCAATTGATCAATGATTTTTAACTCAGTGGAATACTAAACACCACCTTATTCTTCTTTGTGGACATCTACGTTTTGAGGGAAAAAAACATTTAAGCAAATCTAAGTGTCAATTTCTGTCAAACCAAAATAAACAATGAAAGCTGCATACCTGTTAGTGCGGTGGTCCGGATTATTGCCCAGCAGGAGAGAGGGGGTCTCATTGCCCTTCCATTATGAGTTATTCCATCCACAAACCGGAGAGGCTTCAACAATCCGCACCAAAGGATCCCTCCTATATCTACAATGTCAGAGAGAGTCCGAAACCCACAAATACAGAAAAGAAGTTCAGTCCTCTGATCACAGAAGCGCCCGATGTCCCTGCAGGGCGTCCGGGTGCGCGGAGACGCAAAGTTCCTTCTCTCGCAGTGTCTCAGATCTTCATCTCAACTCAACGGAGAGCGGTGTGAAACTTCACATCAGAGCTTTCGCTTCTGGTTTAAAAAGCACAGATATGTTTCTAACTGAGCCATCACCCTACGTAGTATCCTGTTGGGCTTGTTTTCACGGTGTTTGTCCGCGCTGGAGACAGTGCACGCTCTGTGCAGGATCTGCCGGTGCTGAAGGCAAAGGTCTGGTACGCTGTGCTGCGCCGACTCGATCCCTGCGTGCTCTCCAGGGATGTCAGAAGGAACACAACGCACAGTGAATCAGCGCCACTCAGCGGCGTGTGTGACAGCTATCCTGCCGACCAGTTCCTTTATCTGTTCTTTTTGAATTTTTCACAGGTTCATCTGAGTGGCATACGACCTGCTATTTAAACGCACAAAACCTGATAACTACTGTACATACAACTACTACATTTAACAATAAAAAGCTGACATGTGTTAAAAAGTGAAACTTTTCTTAACACATTAACAAACATTCAGGTTACACATTAGTTTAGGCTCCATTTCTCTATTAACTTGGACTTTGCCTCAGTAAACTGCTAATTACTGCTTATTAATAGTTAGTAAGGTAGTTGTTAAATTTAGGAATAGGATGTAGGGATGTAGGGATGTAGAATATGGTCATGCAGAATAAGGTATTAATATGTGCTTTATAAGTATTAATAAAAAGCCAATATCCTTGTAATATGCATGCTAAGCAAGTTAAAAGTGAGAGTTGACCCTTATTAAAATGACATACAATTCATGTCATAATTACAGGTTTGTGTCTCCTTATTTTAATTACGTCATCTTATTTTTTGCTAGCATTGTCCAGAGTACAGTATCTTACAAGCCTGGTTTTGTTTTGTTTTGATTATTGAAAATTAGTAGTTGTAAATTTGTCATGGCCTTCAAAAAAATAAGTCATAGATAAATTAAATGTAAATCATAATAAAAGTATGTGGCACAAATGCAAAATCTGAAGATATTTTTAAGCTCCATTTTGACACCTCTGCCAATTGTTCAATTCTAATATTTAATGAAGTGAAGGTTATATTGTTGTTATTTTTTCTATATAAACAATGACGTAATTGGACTAAATGAAGAATAAATAACAATTCAGAAATGAAAGCCATAGTATCCACCTTATTTTTAATTTAAGAGCGGCCACAGCCATTTTTTTTAAATAAATCTTGACTTCCGGTTTCAGCGGATTCAAGTTATTTTAGGTATCCAAAATCAGTCCATAATACTGTGTTGGAGATAAATTTTGACTGGGATTCTGGGAACAGAAAAGCCCAAACAAACTATATGTATTCTAATTGAGGGTCATGGAGGTACATGACTGCCTCATTGATTGCTTCAGTCAAATGTACAATTTGAAATGATTGCCACTGAATCGAGTGAAATGTCCATTGCACCTGGGTCTCATTTTGGCACCAAAGAGGCATTTGACAAAATGAGCCCCCCTCAGTAGATGAAGATTGAGCACTCTTGGCTCTATCGTCTGAGTGCCTCCCCCACAGCTGAAATTCAATAGAAGTCACAAAGAATGATACATATGTGTTGGACTTCTTAAGTGATTTATAACGCTCGCTGTGTGTAGGGTGGACAAGTTGCCACTAGAGATGTTTGGTGAGAGAATGAACGAGATATGAGGGATAAAGAGATGGGGCAAAGAGATGAACAGAAAGAGAGAGGAACAGACTGAGAAGGAGAGAAAGACATTTGGCAGACATTGTTAAAAGCCTTTCAGAAGGCATTTGCTGTTGTCGATACATTTGGCTCAAGTTTATTACACCTGAAAGTAACTAATGCTTCCCATTACACTTCAAAGCCAAGCTTTTCAGAGACATCTTACCATCTCTGCTCTCACTCTTTCTCTTCCCCAGAGTCTTTTGTGGAGTGTGTCTTTGGTCTGATCTAAGATCAGTTGAGCATGCTCTTCCTGTAACAGCATTAGATGAGGCCGGAAGGTCTCAGAACAGCAATAAAATCAAATCCATCTGTTGGGTCAAAGTGGGTTTTATGGGCTGGTCTGTCATGTTGAGCCTCTGAGAATACCTGAATCTGAGTGTCAGCCATTGTTTAAAGCTTATAAACCTCAGCAATCTCCCACATGTGATTCAGACCAAAACAGATCTCTATTTTTACTGCTGATATCTTATGTGAGTGGCATGTCCTATCATACAGACCGATATGTGTGACAGAGTCAATGTACTGTTGACATGTTTGTTTGCTCTGCATTAGACCCTTTCACAGCAGGAGTGCTGCTAGACAGACACAACTGGGCTAAAGGCTAACAGGGGGGGGGGGGGGGGGGGGGGGGGGGGGGGGGGGCGTGCTGGGTTAACAGCTTTGTCAGAGAGAGAGACAGATAGAGAGACATACAGTAGACGCATAAAAAAGACAGTAAAAGATGGAGAGAGAAGAGTGACTAATGCCATCTTTGGATTGACACACAAAACTGTCAATTTTTTCCTTATATTGCAATCATTACGATAACAAGTTTGTCACCACATGAAGTTTTAATAAGTAAGTAGGTAGGTAATTAGGCGTAACAGTGTGCAAAACACAAACAACCAACAACTGCAGGGTGAAACAGAGCAACTTAAATACACAGGGATAATGAGAAGACAACGAACAGGTGTGATGATCTAATGAGTATCCATGACAACTGATGACTGGCGGGAAACTAAGACAAAGAAACACATGTGACTGATGAAAACAAACTGAAAGTCCACAAAAATCTAAAGTAAGAACAAACAATGAATGCGTCTGACAAAGCTGTAATCATTGCCTAAAATGTTCATTGTATCTTACATGATGTTTACTAACCACATAACTTGTGTTGTCTATCTTATAGTATTACTCCTACATATATGGACATTAACACACTCATCTCCAGTGTTGGGGGTAACTCATTACAAGTAACTTGAGTTACGTAATCAGATTACTTTTTCAAGTAACTAGTAAAGTAACGCATTACTTTTAAAATTTACAACAAAATATCTGAGTTACTTTTTCTAATAAGTAACGCAAGTTACTTTGTTTTCCCCTTTATTGACTGACTGCTCTTCTGTCCTAATGTTGAGACAAATCGAAGTGCAGAGGCGTTGTGTGTAAACATGATGGTTATTATAGTTCTAGATTAAATGTAAGCGTGGATTTACTCATCTCACTTGCACAAAAAAGATTCAATATTCCTCAAAATGAATAAAATCAGTGAAATGCAGAATCAGAACACTATGCAAACCTCCAATACCTAAATATGTTAAATAAAACATACATTTTTATGCATTTAATCTTTATTGACCAAAGTACTTGCTTCTGACCTCCGATTTTTCAGTTAAACCATAAGCAAAAATGACTATAGATTTTTTTATATGTTTTTATTGGTAAAGTAGGCCTAAGTGTTAAATTTGTTTCTCCTGCATCCTCTTCTTCTGTTACCCAGAACAGCAGCAGCTGAAAGGTTTGTTTGAGCGGCGCCCTCTACTTAACACTACTGTACAGGAGTAAATCTGCATTTCCTTCAGTCTGAGGCTTATTATTTCACTTTTGGTGTGAAAGGGTCTTTACATTTGCCCAAAAATATATCTTTTTTTGGTATAAAAAAACAAGCCCAGCCTAGGTGGAAAAATAGTAACGCAAAAGTAACGTAACGCATTACTTTTCTAAAAAAGTAACTAAGTAACGCAATAAGTACTTTTTAAGGGAGTAACGCAATATTGTAACGCATTACTTTTCAAAGTAACTTCCCCCACTGATAACAGAATAAATGCTGACTGTAACATTGAAACTTGCATTTTCTGAGAAGTTGCTTTGAAACAATATACTGTCCAGTAATATGAGCAAAGAAGGCTGTTAAAAAAATAGCAAAATTTGTACAAAAATATGTATTGTCAAGTCAAATCAAGTCACCTTATTTTTTATAGCGCTTTATACAATACAGATTGTTTCAAAGCAGCTTTGTCGTGATAAACAGGAAAATAATGATCAATGATGTAAACAGAATTGAATTCTGCTGTAAAGCAGCTCTAAAATACAGAAGCATTTAAACTATAGGCCAAGGATTCATTTGCATTCTAAGTTTTATATTATATTATATTATATTATATTATATTATATTATATTATGTATACATGGACATGAACAATTAGAAATTATAAAGTTGAAATTATTTTATAATAATTTTTTGTTAAAGCTGCAGTCCGTAACTTTTTTGGATTAAAATTTATCCAAAATACATTTTTGAGCAAGTACATAACCAGCCAATGTTCAAAACTAACTGCTTGCCTTAGCTCGATTCAAAACGGTAAGCTTGTAATAATGTTTTTAATTCCAGTGGTACTGGTGGATTTCCGCGGGAAATTCGAGCATGTCTTTGCGTCATTACGTCACATCTGTACACATAAAGAAGGAGTCTCGGCTAGTAGGCTATATTGCGTGTGAGGATGTTGGAGGTGGAGATTTATAGGCTTTTCTCACAGCACTTGTCACTAATCAAACTTATTAATTTGATGGCGGATCCAGAAAGGTTCAAACGACAATCACCAGTGACAACTGGAGACTCACCCGCTGCAAAATGCAAAAGACTACAAAAGACTGTGGCTACAGAAAAAAGAGACTGCAACCACTTAATGTGATAATGTGAAAACAAGGATAGAAAAGCTTTTGAAAGGTGGGGTGAACTCCGTGTTTTAAAGGGGTTCAAAAGGGATGCAGAGACGGCTTTTTTCCCGCTGGACAGGTAAGAACCAGTTCTAAGGAACATTAATTTGTTGGTATGACAATAAGAAATTAGACTGCACAGAAATGGAAACTGAACTATAGGTAGCCCTATTACACATTAAATGTAGTCACGCAATGCTGATGTTGTTAACATTAACAATTCGAGAACAAAGTATAATTTGCACGGTTTGACGTGATATGATAAGAAATCGTTAAATTTAATCAGCGCTATTTACTGCAATGCTTTTTTCCCCTTAGATGGTCAGAACAAAAGTGGATGTTACTTACTTGTTCAGATGACATTTTCCGGTGAAAATTCTTATGTTGGTCATACATACAAAAAGTATAATCTGTGATTCTGAATGCCAGTATCCACACCGGCGCGGCGACTGACAGCCGCACATTCTCCTCAAAACATTGTGTTCATCCGCGCTGTGCAATCCCGAGGCACATCAACTCACGTAAAGTTGATAATTCCGCGAATAAATGCAATTGCAGATTTCGA